TTCAAGCCTTAAAGGAAATGCATATTCTCAGATGTTTTGATACGCTTGGAGTTGAAAATTGATATACACAAAATTAAACGATTCCACCTCATTCAAGAAGCATGTATCATGCACACTGAATTTTCTATTACTACAACTGGGTCAATGGCACTGCTGGTTGACTAGCTGGCAGTCACAAGAGTACAATATATCAAGCACTAGTGCATTCCTACTGGCATGATCTAGATGATTATAATAATTATCAGCTTATATTTGATGTTTTGAACCAAAACTGAGCTATTAACCCCCTCAGGCGAAGTTGATGCAAGATGGTTTTGGCAGTTTAGACCCTTTTTGGCTTTAATGCTCTTACTAATATTCTATGTATTTGGCTTCATTCAAGTGGCTTGTGATACAATATACAGTCATGATTTAAATAATACATTCAGATTGCAAATTTCTAATTTATAAATCATGTAATTACCAATATACTAAAATTTAGATCACAATATTCCTTAGGGCAAAAATTGGCCTATAACAATAATAGCTGTTCTGGCTGTGTTGATCTAGTGTCAAATATTAAATAGATTAGCAGTTTCCAAAAGTTATAGTCTTGAACCTTCTACCAGAAAAATATGCACTTAAACTGGTTACTAATTTTCAGTTCAACTTCATCATAATTCTTACAAGTCTGAGAATCTACCTCTATTTCCATACATGGGATGGTATTCTACATAGTGGAGAAGCTAACATGCAGTTCCCCCAAGGAATGTATAGTGCAAAGTACCTGATTTCTACAATAATATTCTTTTACTATCGTACAAAGGAATAAAATCACTGCAGATTTATACATTATCATTCAATCATCAAGCATGTAATTGCAAACTGCAAAAATCTGCAGTAATACATGCCTACATTACAGCTGCATATTTGAGAGGCAGAAAGGGGGAATGAAAAACATTGAGCATAAAAAAAACAAGACAAAAGGCATTCTGCCATCTTCACGGAACAATCTATCTTTTTGCAATATTTTTTTATAAATCTAATTGCAGCAGGGGGGTAGGAACCTATCAGGAATGATTCAGCACTGAGGAATGTTCACATGAAGAGATAAAATGCAGGTTTATATATAAACCATCAGTCATTTACAGACAGACTTATCAACAGAATCGTAGATAATTTGTAATAATTTACAGTTCTATAGTGTAAACAGAATGTCATCTCTATACTACAAGATATCATACCTTGTATGATCAGAGAATGGTAGAATCAATGGTCAAATCAGTAATTAAGGAGTACTTGTAGACAAAATAAGCTTTGTTTGTTGTAATATTACATTATTTGCAGAAGTCCATCACTAGAAAAAAATATTCTAGAAGGCATCAGTATTCTGGACAAACATAGTTTTAAAAATGAAAACATATTAGAAATGTTTTTTTATCTTGCATATAAAATATTAAAAAAAAATCAGTCAAAGAACATGCATACACAGTGCTTGCCAACAAACACTTGACCTATTTATCTAATTCTTAGATGCTGCAATGTTAATGTTATTTCTAAACAGAACATATATTTCTGATCAATCAACAAAATAAACAACAAAAAAACCAACAGAAAAAAGAATATGGGAATACAACTAGAAGACACCAATTCTCTGCCTACAATGTATAATAAGAATATAGGTTTTAGGGGTATTGACATACATCAAACAACTTGAATGTGTCTTTGAACACCAATTTTTCAACCTTAAAAATATTAACAGATTTACGACTAACTTTTGAAACTTTAAATGAAGTTTGTCTTTTTTCCCATTAGTTAAATGTTACCATAGGATTTCTGAGAAATTGACTTCAGATAAAGCTCTGCGACTCTTTTCACAAAAAATCTTACGATTAAAATTGATTGTAAGTTATACTGAAATGTGTATGACTTGCTAGTATTTTTACTCTTAAGATTTTTTGTGAAAAGAGCCACAGACATTTAATGTAGGAAATAATATTTCTTATTTTTATACTAGTAGCAACGACTAGTATAAAAACAAGCATTCTGAGAGTATTGCATGGCAATACATAGTCCCCTACCGGGTAAAAATTCATTATCCTGGAACAAAATGCTAACTTGTTCTATAACTTGTCATGGTGTAAACAAAAAGTAAATATCATGTCAATATCTTCAAGCATGACTAAAAACAGTGTGGAAAACTGATTATATGAGTGAATTATTCAAGTCCAAGGACCATAACTCTGCACAAAATTATTAGACCTAAACAAAAATTTGAACTTGATCTGTAACTTTTCATGATAAAACTATATACCAATTATCAATCAATATCTTATAAGCATGTTGAAAAAAACATTAGATATGATTAATAGTTCTCTAAAATTAGATATGATGTAATATTACAGTGTATATCTATTTTCAAATTATAATCAAATATAATTAGTAGTTCCAAATATTTTTTCTTTCATTTGTCACAAACTAATATAGATTTGTAACTTATCTATAAAATGTCAACAACTTTTATCTACACAATGTAATGTATTGAAATATATACATTTATAAAAAATAGATTATTATCTAATTAAAGGATTTCTCTTCATATTTTTTTTTATATATATAGCATTCAGAAAATTAGTTTATACTAAATAACAAACAAACCTGCCAAAAAATTCTTCAAATAATTTAACAAAGAATGTCTTTTAAAAATGAGTTATCTCCCTTTGTACAGAAATATGGTTTAACATAGTACTCTAACATTAGATATGGTCCAAAGGGGTCGCTAGGGGAATAATAAGGAGGTGTGGTATGATTGCCAATGAGACAACTATCCACCAGAGCTCAAATGACGACAATATAAGCAATTATGGGTCACTGTACGGCCTTCAACTATGAGAAAAACTCAAACCTTATAGTCACCTATAAAAGGCTCTGACATGAAAATGTAAAATAATTCAAACCAGAAAACTAACGGTCTAATCTATACCAATACAATTTATGAAATACAAATATGACATGAAACATTGACAACCACTAAATAACAGGCTCCTGACTTGGATCAGGCACATAAAGAATGTGGCATGGTCTAAAATGTAGGTCATAGTGACAAAATTATGTTTAGCAGGTTTTTTATACCATTGATTTATGAGGAATGGACATTTAAGAAGCTTGAACAAACCTGATATACACACTACATATATGTAAATCCTTATGTCCCTTTACTTGACATAGGTGAGGCATATAAAAGAAAAGAATAAAAAAAAATACTTTAATCTAGTACATGACCGGCTATCTAACTAAGCTCAGTGAGCATAAGTATGAAAAACAAACAAAAATTGATCACACAAATCTATATATTGACATCAAAGATCTCTTTATACTTCTTGTTAATAAAGTGGCCATGTGTTTTATTTCTTTGTAGGTTAATGATCTCATGTATTTTAAGGACTTTAACTGTGTTTAATCATAAAGTCATTAGATTTCCTTTTTTAAGCTTGGCTATAATTTTCATCTATTTTTATCTCTGTCTTAACCAATTTTAAACTGAAATATGTCAGAGAGTTCAAACTAGGAACATTCAATTATACATGTTTGTTTCATTCATGCATGGCCTTCAGTAAATCAAATGATACATGTACATTTTTTTTCAAATTAAGGTTACAATTAAATTAGTCTTTATATTACTAATTACTGTGACTTGACTGTTAGTGTTGCTCTCCACCTATTGCAATTTATTCAAAATTCTGACCAAATTGCAATTTGTTTTATAAAACCAAACTGTTCAACTGATCAGAAATTTGAACAAACTGCTGTAGAAAACCACAGTCAAGTCGTGAAAGTGCAAGGTGATAAAATAAAGCATACTTACAATCCTATAAGTCTTTAATTCCACATCAATGTTATTATGGAAATTCAGTCTAACAGTTTGTATAGAAATTTTATTGTTATTGTCATGCTAAAGGTGATGGTTAGTAATTTTGAATTGCTATAAAAATGTCCAAACTAAGCTTTCATACAATTTTTCTTTCGAAAAGTCTTCTATATTCATAAGAATTAGACATCATTTGAATTAAAACATCTTACATTTAGTAAAATATATGTGAAATTACAATACGTTGTTAATAAGTTTCTATGGGAGATAACCTAAAACATTATTCTTTTGAATATAGAAGACTTTTCGAAAGAAAAATTGATTATCTCCCATGGAAACTTACTAAACACGTATTGTAATTTCACACATATTTTACTGAATATAAAATGTTTTAATTCAAATGATGTCTGATTCTTATGAATATAGAAGACTTTTTGAAAGAAAAATTGTATGAAAGCTTAGTTTGGACATTTTTATAGCAATTCAAAATTACTACCCATCACCTTTAGCATGACAATAACAATAAAATTTCTATACAAACTGTTAGACTGATTTTTCATTATAACAATGAAGTGGAATTAAAGTCTTATAGGATTGTAAGTATGCTTTATTTTATCACCTTGCACTTTCACGACTTGACTGTGGTTTTCTACAGCAGTTTGTTCAAATTTCTGACCAGTTGAACAGTTTGGTTTTATAAAACAAATTGCAATTTGGTCAGAATTTTGAATAAGTTGCAATAGGTTGAGAGCAACACTTACAGTCAAGTCACAGTAAAAAGAATATCATTTGATTGTGATCGACCTTAATTGATTTCTCTGCTCTCATTTAGTTAAATATTTATCAATAGTTATCAATTGCAATTGGTTTGTTTGCTAATGATATATATTTAATGCATATACATTTAAGGTGGTTCCCATTACATAGTGTGCTGACTTAATTTGTTGATTTCTAACCATGAAATTCCAGACTAATAAAATCCCTTAATCTCTTTTGCATTTTCCTATTTTTCAGGAGAGAATTTTCTTTTGTTTCCATGACCTATTATCTTTCTGATTAGGAAGACATATAGTATTGTCTATTCTTAATAAAAATGTGAGGCTGCCGTCTAATTGACCTTTACCAGTACCCAATATTTGAATTTGAAGTATACCTTTCATTGTTGGTCTCAGTTGATGCAGACATAAATTCATTCATACATGGTCATTCCTATGGTACAGACACTCAACACTCCTTTATAAACCTGTAAAATAAAGAAAAACTGTTAATTGGCATTGTCTAATTAGTACTAGACCAAAAGGGTATGTACGTAATGAGACCTCCCTATTCCTATCCTTCTTTCCCAAACTTTTTATGAAAAACACACTCTTGAGATACAAAATATCTATATCTAACACTAAAAAGATTGGAAAATCTCTGATATCTAAGGATATGATTTCCAATGTCTGATCAAACAGATACTGAAGGGTAGGAATTCCTATTTCTAAACAGGCAGATACTAAAGGGTAGGATTTCCTATGTCTGAAAAGGCAGATACCTGAAGAAAGATTTCAAATGTCTGACCCAAGGCAGATACCTGAGGTAAGATTTCCAAAGTCTGACCAAGCAGATGCCTGGTGGTAAGATTTCCAATTTATGACTAGGCAGGTACCTGGAGGTAAGATTTCCATTGTCTGACTATGAAGATACCTGAGGGTAAAATTTCCATATGTCTGACCAGGAAGATACCTGTGTGTATTGTATCCTATGTCTGATTAGGCAGATACCCGAGGGTAAGATTTCCAATGTCTGACCAGGTAGAGTTTGAGGTAATATACCTAAGGTATAATTTGCCTATGTGCAATTGGGCAGATTTTTGAGGATATGATTTCCAATGTCTGACCAGGTATATACCCGAGGATAAAATTTCGGATGTCTGACCATGCAATGTTTGAGGTAAGATTTTGAATGTCTGGCTTGGCAGATATCAGAGGGTAAGATTTTGTGATGTCTAACCAGGCAGATACCTCAGGGTAAGATTCCTGTCTAACCAGGCAGATACCTGAGGGTAAGATTTCCTGTCTAACCAGGCAGATACCTGAGTGTCAGATTTCTAATGTCTGACTTGGCAGATACTTCAGGGTAAGAATTATGATGTCTGACAGGCAGATATTGGAGGTTAGATTCTACCGGGGTAAATGACTGAATAAGCAGATACCTAAGGTATTATTTGCTGCTGTCTAACTGGACAGATTAAATAAGGGTAAGACTTCCATTGTCTGACCAGGTATATAACTGAGGGTAATATTTCTGATGTCTGACCAAGCAGATACCTGAAGTAAGATATCAAATGTCTGACCATGCAGATAAATGACGGTAAAATTTCCAATGTCTGACAGGTTTAAGCGCACGAGAAAAGAATGAATACTGCCAGTGTTTAATTCTTTTTCTCAGCCATCTTTTTAATTCAATTCCCCCCAAAAAGTTAAAAAATATCAACTCAATAGGTTGGATGAGACAAGAATATCCATAGAAACCATGCAACACTTAAAAGCTCCAATATGGTGACAAAGAAGCCCTTAATTCTTATTTCAAATATTTCCATCTTAAACTTCATCCAAATATTTTTCCATTAATAACAGAAAATGTGGGGTAAATTGCAATGAGATAACTACCCAAAAACACAAATAACAAAAACAGACATCTCTAGGTCACCATATTTCAATGATGGAAAAGCGCCAACATTGTAAAACAAGTTCTAAATCATCATGAGTTTACAAAATCAATACAAAATTTTCAATAAGCCAAAATAAATAATAACAGGAAGCGTGGAGGGGACATGATCAAAGAAAAATAATGAAATTTTCACTGAAAAACAATCAGTGAAAGAATTAGAACACTTAATGATATATGATGACTACCACTTTTGCTGTAGAAAACCAAAAAAAAAATAAACATGCAATGCTATTAGGTACTGAATATTTTTTAATGTTTCTTTGAAATTCAGTGACTGGTTTATGAAAAATTGCAGGTGCATTTGTAAGAAGTGACCAGATAAATTAAGAGATGAACAATTAGTAACAATGATCATTATATACAGGCCTTTAAGCTAAAAACTTGAGGGTACAATCAAAGAGGTTCTGTTTCGAAATAGAACCCTCTGATATAACACAACTATCAAATAATGAATGATAGATTGCTTGAAGTTAGTAAAAGCAAGCCCAGAGTACTTAGTGTGTGCATTCAGAAAATCTTTATTTGTATACTCTTAGTATTTGGCAGTTTAGTACTTAAATGATGCAGTCTATAGTCTGGCTGAAAACAGAAGGAACCAACTAATAATTAGACAGGTGCAATATCCTCCCTGAGCCATAACCTATTAAAATATTTCATAATTAGTTAATCATAAATTCAACAGTGGGGTAGATACACCTGCCAAAACATACTTTTTAAGCTTTGACCTACATATGTAAAATTTTGTTCTGGCATTTCTGATCAAAGCTCTCAAATTAAGCACAAACATTTAGTAAAAATAGCTGCCGATCTTATCTTCCTACAAAAACAGTACATCCAACACCCAGGTTACGACTTCTTACTACAAACACTGGATTCTTTGGTGGAATGCCAATATTATCATTGCTGCAAATTACACAACCTAATCATTGCATAAATGAGGGAATGAGGTATCATTATATACATATAAATCAGCCACATGTGTCAGTCCAAGAAATTACATTTTCATCAGATCATACTGACATGTGTTAATGCTGGACCAGTTGTACAGAAAAATGCATATCAAAGTATCTTCACTTTATGTATTATGCAAGACTAAAAATACTTACATTCCACCCCCAAAAAACTTTAGATTTGGTATGTTTCTGTACATGACATCACATGTTCTCTGTGAAATTCTCACATTATATCTAGCTACCAGCTAGTCAGTGTACTATCCAAAAAACAAGTCAACCTCTCAACTGCTTCAGCAAGGTCTTGCTGATGTTTGGGTTTAACTTCATAAATCATAAGATTCATGAGAATTATTAGCCTTGATTTAAAAATAAGTAAATTTTGATAGCTTTAGCAGAAGTGACCTTTTATAAAACAAATGCAATTTTCAAATGAGCACTCAAACATGCCCTCCCTTTTATGGAGCTACATATATGGTTAATGTATAGACTTTTTTACATGTTATACTCCTCTGGGAACAATATATCTATTTTTTTATTACCTGGTTTGCATTCTGCACAATTCTGTGATAAAATGCTTGCGATTTTAACAAATTTGAAGTGACAGAATACAAGTTTGATACACTAGCATCACTATAAAACTAGTTTGAATGACATTTTATTGATAATATCAGAAATTATTAGGATAAAAGCGAGTCCGTTTTTAACACATATCCGTTTCTGTATCGTATCTTTATTAACTATGGCACGACGATAAAATCGACTACAATCAGGAAGTGTCAAGTCCCGTCAATATATATGTTCCTGTACTCCTTAAACAGTCTAGTTTGCCCCCTCCCTTTTTCAAAATCCTAGATCCACATCTGCATAGCAGGACATGTATACTTACATTCCCTGACAAAATGGCTGATATGCTTTTAAATCAATGAAACAATAAGTTAACATCTTTAATTCATTCTTTAATTAACAAAAAAAAGAAGTCCAGAATGCATCTGGAATAGTAATGAAATGATTAATAAACCAGGAAGCAGGCAACAAAAAGATGTGTATTTCTACCTCTGACATATCATGATTTAAGAACAAATGCTTCTATCATCATTAATGATTCAGACTTGTACTATCATCAATGCTCAGTTTTGTGCCATATGTATTTCCCATATATAACTGCTTTATAGCTTACAATTCACTTTGATTAAAATTGTTATATATCTTACAATTCTCTTTGGCTTTTTTTTGCTTGTAACTAACACTTTCTTTATTTTACAGTACATTAATATTTTTTACTGTATTTTGAATTTCATGTGTACCAGTTTTCCATTTAAAATTTACAAAAGAAAAACTACAAATAAAAGAAAGATTTAACATCAGTATTAATCCAGTTTAAGGGACATGCATTGTTAGGACAAGTTGTGAAAACAGTAAACAAAATCGAAAAAGGTTTTTCTTTTTTTTCACAGCCACTAATTTCTTTAAACTTAAAAAAGAACTTATGCAAACTAGCCAAAATAAAAAACTTAATATTCTTACCAGTGTCATACTTTGAATAATTACAAATTATATCCAAATAGTACACCAAGATAAAAGCCATCTCAGAATTACAGAAGTTGCTCAAGTTACACCATTGTGGAATGCTTTGTAGCATTCTCTTCATTTCTCCTCATAAACGTGCTACAGTTACATCTTATCAGAAAAACATGCACATTCAAGGACTTGCAGATCTATTTGCATGTTCTGGATGGCTCTTCTAAATACATGAATGTAATAACTTTTAATCTGCATAAATTATATCAACAATGCTTATGTCATAGGTGCATTTTCCTCCCAGTGTTTTTAAAGTATTTTTCAGTATTTCATATACATTTTTCTGTATGTTAGATAATTCTAGAATTATTTGTTCATAATCAAAAGTTTGCTTTATTAAGGAATTAAGCTTATTTCTCATTTTTCTAATTTAATGGTACTTTAATTAAATTACCTATGGCTAATTAGAAACATTTGTATATGTCACACATGTCTTTGAGTATTTCTCTTTTTCATAGTTATTGTTAATTTAGTAATTAGGTAGACAGATGTCATTTGATTATTAAAGTTTAATCCTTTAATTGCATTTGATCTTAATTTCACTATTCATATTTTTACATTTGGCATTTTATATACAAAATCATTATTACTCGGATTAATTTGAAATTTATGTCTCAGCTTGAGTTCTTTTCAGTTTTGGTATAAATAGTTCGTAGAAATTTTGATACTTCACTATTAGTCACAGTCACAGTTACAGTAGGGAAAAAGTCACTACAGAGTCACCAGAAAATCAGCATGTAGGGACAAGTAACATCATAGTCACTTAGGTGACCATCCAGTAACGACAGTAAGTGAATTCCAGGAACAGAGTACCTACAAGCCAAGTAGGAGAAAAGAAGTCAGCTTCACAACTGTGACCAAACAGTTCGCTCTTCAGTATCTAACCGGCGTGGCAACTCGGGATATTCATTAGCTATCAAGGATGTGTTTTAAGACCCAACAACTGGAACAGACTCAACTTAACTATACAACAACTGGTACAGTTACAGTTAACAAC